AATTGGGGCAGTGGCGAATCTTAGGATGCAACTGAGTTCCCAAATGCAAAGGGAAAAATTGCAAGGGGGCAGGGGACTGGGAGGGGAAGGCAACACCGTGACTTGCAAAGATATGAGGAATATTGCTAATGATCTAAAATCAGGAACCCAAGGTCTTGTCCTTTCTGGAAGGAAGACGACTTCAGAACTCAGATTCTTTTCTCCACCCCTCTCACTAATGACAACTCATGAAATCAGAAATGACAGATTCCAAAATAAAGCAAAACGATACTAAGCTTATTTTTTAATGAAATATTTCAGAAAAAGAAGGAAAGCATTAAAGAATAATATAACATGTATCTGTGTACCCACCTCTCAGTATATAAAATAAAACATTGCCAATACAATTGAACTCCCCTCTGTGTATTAATCAGCATTTCTGACGATTTCCTTGTCTCTTAGTATGAAGGTTTATTATTGTTTTCTTTATATAGGATGTTATGTCTCCAGTTTGTATTTCATAGAAGTAATTATCTATGATTCCCCTTCCTCTTCCTTCTACATTATTAAAGTTTATCTGTTTAAATGTATGCTTCCCCCACCCCCTAGAATTTCCTAGTTCCCACCACTGAATAGTAGTCACCTACACCCACATTGGGAACTTGAGATGCAAAAGCACCTTTCTTGGTTAAAGTCAGGTGATGGCAATTTTCATCAGCCTCTGCCAAAAATGATGGCCAACACACCTTAAGAACTTTCTGACCATTCCATTGCAGAGACTAATGTCCAGAGCCTCTATATTCCAGCCTTTGTACGCTTTCTGCCTGTCAAACTGCCTACTCTGCAATTGAGGAAAACTGCTTGTTGACCAACCCCATCCTTTCTGTGCTGATCACTGCCTTTGCAAATAAGAAACCTTGACCTATGGGCACCTTGATTCAGCATGAGCTACCTCAGGTTCTCTCTCAATCTGCTAACCATGACCTTGAAAGAGCTTCTAACCAGACTAAAAGTAAAGTGGTTAATCCTGAGACTTAGAGATGCATTTGACCTAAGAAGTCTCAATGCAGCAGGCTATAGAAATCACCATAGCTCCCTCTACAGAAGCCATCCCCCATCTATTCCTGGATCTTAGACCCCAATTTTGTATAAGGGTCAGGTAGACCTGTGCTTCAGGGAGGCTGGGCTCCTCTCCGGCCCCCAGGCAAGAAGCAGCACTACAGAGGGGTAAGAATCTGGGCTCATTATTCCTTCCTTTAGCAGTTGTGTGACTTTAAGTAAATTACAAAAACTTTGTGTGTCTCAGTTTGATTCTTCTCGTCAGAAATGTTTATAGCTGACATGCTGGGTTTGGCAGAGTGTAAAAAAACAAGAACCCCTGGAAACTTGTTAATGCTATTGAGTCACTGAACTAGCCAACCATAGAACATAAACTCCCTGAAGACAGAGATTTTTGTCTGCTTTATTCAGTCAAATATCTCCAGCACCTAAAACAGTGCCTGGCACATAGTAAGTGCTCAATAAATATTAGTTGACTTGAATTCTCTTGAATCTCAGATTCAACAAATTTTAAACAAGACTTTTTGTTGTATGAGAAAAGAAATAGCCTCCTACTTATAGCCAAAAGCATCTTGATGCTCAGATCCCTTGTGTCCACACAGTACTATCCTTTTCTAGGAACTGTCTCCTCCCACCTAAACAAACATGGATATGATAGGAGTGAAGTAATACATAATAATACCCTATGGCCACAGTTATTCAGAAATAACTACCTGACCCAACCTTAGCCTTTATTCAGGAATTTGGGATTAGACTAAGAGAGTCAAGCTTCATCTTGCTGCGTTTTGAAATGGATGAAATGTGAACTCACGGCCTTTTGGCAGTGTATTTCCTGTGTGTATTCATGAGCACCACAAACAGGTTAGCAGACAGCAAGAGGAGGGAATGAAGCAGATGGATGGAGAAACAAAGACAGAAGATAGGGAATGATCATGGTATTTAAATGTGGTTCCAGTTGTTAATGAGACCCACCTGGATTCCAGTTCTCGGATCTGGGAAACAGATTAATTTTCCTGTAATGAAGTCTCCTTTGTCCTTAGGCTATGTTGAGTTGGGCTTCTGCTCATTGCAGAGAAAAGATCTTAAGGGTTTTTTTTGGTTTGATTATAGCTACGAATTCTGAGCAAACTGTCCCTTCTTATAACTTATATGCACCCATGAAAAGTAAAAATTTTATGTAAAGTAGAAACACTGAGGGAAAATTATAATTCAAAACATAATCGCAAACCTTTGGAAACTTACACCAAGAACAAGCTATGGGAGGCCAGTTGTCTCAAGTCTATTTTTAAGCCATCGTTTACAGCCCTTCCAATTCAATCCTCTTTGTCCATACAGACATGGTGATCCATGTCAGAGTTTCTTCAAGGTTTATAAGGCCATGCTTCCATACCACCCCCTGGTTGTTCCATATGGCCCACTCCATGACTAGAAACCCTTTCTGTTCTAGCTGTTTAGTGCTTCAACTGCAGGTCTCTCTTCTTTTATTAGCTTCAACTAACTTCATGGTTTTGCTTTTATTTTTCTTTGAGGTTTGAATGTACAATTCCAAGAACTATCTCTACCAACTTGAAGCCGTTGCTGGGTTCCATGTCGATAATTTTTTTTTTTTTTTTACTGGACCATAAGGACCATCTGGTCTAAGGCCATGTCTCTGCTTGCCATTTGTGCAGCTGCCTGTACATCTGTATGTCCTGATGCACCCTTTTATTATTGTCTGCTTTCCGTTGCATGTTGTCAGAGACCTGGGTACTGCATCTGTTTGAATTTTGTTTGTAGGTTCTGAGCACAGAGGAGTGTGTGGCTGGGAACATAGAAAACTTTACTCTAAGCAAACTGGATTCATGGAGTCATGATGAATGGAAATAATGAGGGAGATCTGAGCCCAGGAATAGGGACTGGATTCATATTCAACTCCTAGGTTAGAATGCTTATTTTAAATGTTCCCACACTGAGCTACCTTTTCAAAGCATTGAGCTGAGACCTATTCATGGGGTTATTTCCTTGTAAGTGCTTGTTATTTAGTTGAGTTTGCTCTCTAAGCATTAAGAGTTTTTATATTGGGTTTTTAGAATTGTTCTCCATACATTCTTACTCTTTAACATGAATTCCCCATCCTCTCGCTCCTTCTCCCTCTCGCGCTCTCTCTCCCTCTCTCTCTCTACACACACACACACACACACACACACGTGTTCATTTGAAAAATCAGGCCTTAGGGCTGGATCTATACTTGGCCAACATCTTCAAGGTCACTGATGTTACTTCTTGCTTCTGCTGTGTGGGAGCCAATGAGAGTGAGTCATCAGGGTGAATAATGCCTCTGTAATACTACCAGATTGTGTTTGTCTCCACTTCAAAGCTCTCAGTTTTAACAGAATAGTATTTCTCCATCCCGCCCACCCAAACAGCAGTCTGGATGGCTGCAAGGCAACAATTAGATGAACAGTAGCATCATTTCCATAGGCTGGACTATGCCCCCCAAACCCCCCCCCCCCCCAAAAAAAACCTAGCAGCACTTCTTATGGAATTTCTCAGGTCAAATTCTACTCAGGTTTTCCTGGGTAGAGATCATATCCCACCACCTCTGTTTTTCTTTCTTTCCTTATCTTCCTTCCTTCCTTCCTTCTTTCTTTCCTTCCCTCTTTCCTTCCTTTCTTTCTCACCTGGAATTATAATTATGCTTCTCTTGATCCATCTTCAGTCACTTCTTGTCTAATTAGCCTTTTAATTTTTTTTTTTTAAGATGTATGTATTCTAGAGAGAGAGAGCACACGAGTGGAGGGAGGGGCAGAGGGAGAAGGAGAGAGAATCCCAAGCAGACTCCCCATTGAGCATGCAGGCTGACATGGGGCTCCATGCAGGGCTTGATCCCACGACCCTGAGATCATGACTGGGGATGAAATCACGAGTTGGTCACTTAACCAACTGGACCACCCAGGCTTCCCTAGCCTTTTACTTTTTTTTCCATCCAAAAGAGTGTGACTTTGAGTTTGTCACAAAAAAGAAAGAAAAATAGAAAGAAAGAAGAAAGAAAAAGTTTTAATACTCTAGAATCTATACCCATTTCTACAGCACCCTCTTGACTCCTCTTGAAAGGACTCATTATTTTAAAAGTCATGTTTCTTCGGTGGAACTGCCATGCAGTGGCCCTGATGGAAAGAATAATGGCGGAACCACCACTATGGAGCACCTAACCATGGTACCAGGTGCTTTATACACGTGTTTTCTTAAATCCTCACAACTAAATAAGCTTTGTTATCTTTTTTAGACATGCGTAAAGCAAGGTTCAGGGATACTCAATAACTTGCCCAAGGTCACAGCCAGTAAACAGAAAGGTAGAAAATGTCTAACTCTATGGTGCCAAGATCCATTCCTTGCTCAGCCACTTGGGTGAGAGGGAAGATATTAACAAGTCTAGAATTCCTAGTTGTTGCATACCCTTCCTTTCTTGATGCCAACTTATGGAATAACTTGAAAAAGTACTATTTTCTTTAACCCTTCCTTCAGCCCATTGTACCTCCTCATTGTTGCTGATGGTATTTAGGTGTATCTCTCCTATGCCAGTGAATTACATGTGTTACACATTTTGCCAGCCCTCATTCATGTCCTACATGTGCTAATCAAAGTTCCTCTAAACCTCAGGTAATGAATGATATAATTAATCATACAAACTGGGACACTTTTGATAATGAAAAGGAAAGCTATTAATAACTATGCTGGGCCACTGAGGGCTGCCCTGGGCAAACTGGGTTGCATGGCCACCCTCTTAGGACAAACTCTAACCAAGCTAATGTTTCCTATGGACTAAAAGGGTATGAATAGACCTGCCTTAACTAAACACTATACAAAACAAGAGAACAGAAGCTAGAACTACCAGACCCAAACCTCTGTCTCACGAATAGTTGCCGCATTTCTGGGCCTGGCTGTGTGTGGTGGGAGAGGGAAGGCAGCTGGAAATGACTCACAATTAGAATGATCGTTGTCCCCATTTCTTCAAGAAGTGGCTCTCAAACTTCGGTGCACTTAAGGGTCCCCATCGTTTTTCTTCAAAATGAGGATCCCTGAACTCCATACCTTACAGATGCTGAAAGTATAGTATGGGGTAGGCTCAAAAAACTGCATTTGACCACCCTACCATAGATATTTTCACCTATGTAACTTATGAACTGCCCTGGGAAAGAAAAGCGTGTTCTATTGCATAAAGTCCTTGCATAGTTATTTACTCTGCAAAGACAGGCATGATTTGGAAAAGTCCCTGCAGGACATAACACAACTGTTTGCAACATGAAGATTTGTTCACAGATACCATCTGTATGACCTGAATCACCAAATGAATAAAATAATGTAAACCATGTTTCCCTGATAATTACTTTCAACATGGGTTCTCAGGGATATACATTTTCTCTGCTTTCTTTTTTTTTTTTTTTTTTTGAGACAGAGAGAATGAGAGAGAGAGAGCATGAGAGGGGGGAGGGTCAGAGGCAGAAGCAGGCTCCTTGCTGAGCAGGGACCCGATGCGGGACTCGATCCAGGGACTCCAGGATCATGACCTGAGCCGAAGGCAGTCGCTTAACCAACTGAGCCACCCAGGCGCCCTCTGCTTTCTGATAATTACAGCAATAATAGTTGCTATAGATTGAACAAACCAGAAATTTATAGACATTACTTCAAATACAGAAACCCTCAAAAGTAAGTGATGTTACCTCTGTTCTATAGATGATGGACCTCAGGCTCAGAGAAGTTAGGTGACTTGCTGGACGTCTCACAGCTAGTCACTGGCAGCCCTGCCGTTTGAAACCAGATCAGCTGCCTCGCCCTTGAAATATTTAGTGAACTCATAAGCACTGCGTGAGGACTGAAAAATATTCGTTGGAAGCCACATCATGCATGTAAGCTCGTATGACCTTTCCAGAAGAGTAATTCCTAGACAGAGAGAAGACCTGAATGGTGACTTTGAGAAATGCTGAGGCAACTCTTTGCTATGAAAAGGCAGGGATAGAGCCAATTATCAGTGAACATTTGGCAAACTTGGGGGTCTAGCGAACCATTTTCCAGGCTGGCCTTTGGATCGAGTTCTCTTTCGCTGGCTGTGCCGTTGCTATGCTCTTTATTCATATTTTCAAGGAAACACAAGTAAAGCGACTGTCCCCTAATTGCGCTCCCTTCCTGCAGTCAGCCTGCGCCTTCTGAGCACCACGGGCTGGTTCCATACGCGGTGCATCGTGGGGAAGGACTGGTGGCAGCTGCCAGTTGGTGTGTGACACATTGAGTAGTCATATTTCCCTTCTCGGTGGCCCTCCAAAGCCCTTTCCAACATAACTTTTCCCCATCTGTTCTCGTTTGCACTGCATAATAGGGGACAGGTTTTGGAACTTGGGATTCAAAAAACAACATTAAGAGAAATAAAAATGAGATGGAATTTCAGCAGAAAGAAACTCACTGACTTTTCCCCCACCTCCTCGGTTACTGGGATCATAACCAGAGCATTAAATCAAGCAAGTGTGTACTCTCGCCTAGTTGGTCCTCTTCACGTGGTAGTGAAGAAATGTAAGAGCATTTAAAAATCCCTTTAAACTGTCTGCATAGCAATAAGGTAGACAGCGTGGCCAAGTCATTAGCAGATACAGTATTGCCCAGGACCTGACTTCAAGTTTTTCCACATTTTGCTTAGAATCTCTAATAAGTTACGTTAATTGCCTCATGCCTCAGGGTCCTTCTCTATAAAGTGGAATATGTGTTGTGAATCTTAGAATACTTAGAGACAGGGCTTTCCAAAATGCCACAAGCCCACCTCTGTGCATGCAGTGAATGATTTTGGAAATGATACAAACATCTTTACATTTTAAACATAATTGATTTCCTCTAATATACATTAGGGAAAAAACTGCAAATGGCACAAGATACCCCTGATTTTCCAGATATTTTTTTTTCCAAAGGATGAACCTAAACTAGGCATTCAAGTTTAAAAAGTGAACACGTTTAAAGAAGACTATTCAGTAAGTTATAATAAAAGTGAATATGGCAAAACAAAAGCAGAAGTACAAGAATGATGGCTTAGAAAGCAACAAGAGCAGGGTAGTGGCTCTTTTATTCTTTAAGGCTCTTTGGAAAAGTCATATTATATGAGCCTCAGGTCCCCCGTGTTGGATGAATCATACTCCTTGGGTCACAGCTCACTGTCATCATCTGTCTAGTGGGGGCTTGTCATCATTTTGAGATCACAGCCCTCTTTGAGAATGTGGGGACAGTTACGGGTTTCCCCCCAAAATGTATATTCTCATATACAAACAAACTCCTTCTTATAATTTGTGGGTTTTCAGGACCACTTGGAGTTTATCCATGGACTCTTGGAGATTTCAAGTTCCTAAACTCAAGGTTGTGTCCCTTTGCTTGGCAACCTCCTTCGTTGCTTTCTTAACTTCACAGGTCAGCACTTGAGCCTCTAAGCCACACCTGTATTTCTGCAAGGAACACCATCTTCCTTCACTGCCCTGCCCAGGGCAAAACCACCCAGGCTGCGACCTACACTCATGTAGGTAGTACAGAAAATATCCAGTCTCTTCCCTCTCCCCACCACCCCTACCCCCGCAGCTTTAAAATCAGAAATACTACAAAAACATCTGCAGTTGAGATCTCTTGTTTCTTGTCTAGCTCCCTTCCTCTTCCCTTGGGATCTGGCCCTCCCCAGTCCAACAGTGTGGTACCTGTGAGTGCTGACATTTTTGGTGAGGCCATCAGAGGCCCAGAGAGAGGCTGCCCCAAGGCAGACAAATAAGTTTCTGATGGAACTTGGAAAGAGATGTACATGGTAGGAAACTCAGGAGAGGGCCCTTATTGGTTAGTTGTGCAGAGAAGAATGCCAAAAACAGAGAGGTGGTCTACACATGGTTTTGATGATATTGATTCCTACAACAGACCCCTTTGGAGCTGAAAATGTTCTGTTTTCGTAATCATTTCCATAACTCTCATTGTCATTTTCCACCCTTTTGCCCAAATACCCAGTGATTTATGAGAAAGGTGGTGGCGATATTAATAAGACTGATGGAAACACTTATTGAACATACCCCGGGCACCGGACCACCCCCACTTTGTGTGTACCCGTTTACTATCTTCAGCTCCCTCAGGAGACAGGTAGCATTATCTTCTCTACTTTGCCGATAAGGACCCCAAGTTTACAGAGTCAGAAAGGGCTCGAACTGGTCTGCAGAACTAGGCCTGCCTCACTCCAGACCTAGCAAGTTTTTCATCTGAACTTTGAACTTTTTCCTGTTCAAAGTAGTGAAACATCTTACCCCCTGCCTTTCTGTTGTTTCGACTCCCACTCACCCCTCACTGTCTCTGAGAATTTTTGTCCAATTATACTAGCCAATATAGATGTATATCTCTCCTTTTTAACTCAAATGATAGCATATAACTAAATTTCCTGAACTTGGCTTTTTTCCCCCCACTTAACCACTACATTGAGGAGTGCAATCATATCAATATATTAAGAACTTCATTATGTTGTTAAAAAAAGCTTCTTAGTGTTCCATTGTAAGGGAATAATTTAGGGATTCAGTATCCTATCGATGACATTTAGGTTGTTTACAACTTCTTATTTTTGCAGTTAGCGCTGCAATGAAAACTTTGTACATACATCATTTCACAGTTGGGTGAGGATATGTGCAGGAAATATTCCTAGAATGGAATTGCAAGGTCATAGGGTGCCTGCATTTGTAATTTTGCAATATAATGTCAAACTGCCCTCCACACATCTTGTAGCAACTTCCAATTTGACCATAACGTGTGAGAGTAACTTGCAGCGTTCTCCATATTTCAAGTTTTTTTTCTATTCCCACACCTGCAAGTTTCATCTTCTCTAAAACGTCTCAAATTGTTTTATTAAAAAGAAAAACATAAAATTTACACTCAGTTTCTGCAACCTGGTCACATACACACACATATAGTTTTCTGCTGTATATGTTCACCTACTTTGCTTAGAGCTCCCCCTAACTTCCAACGGAAGCTCAGAGGATGCACAGTTTAAAAGCTGGGATACTCTCAATAAGTCAGTCCTACATAACAACTCCACCAGCAGATGGTTGATCTCCAGGCCATTCACCACTAAGGCTTTACATAAGGTTTCCAAGAACATCTTCCTCTTCCCTCTCCCCAATCCTCCCTCCCCTCAGTTGGCTGTCAGGCGTGCCCCCCCACAGAGCCCCCTGCCTCCGACCTTCCTAAGAGTTTGTGCCCATTACATCTTTGTGGCCATCCCATTCTATTTATTCTTCGCATTCTTTGGGAGGTTAATGACTTTGTGGAAATCTAAAACAGCCCCTCCTCAGGAAGTGGTAAAAATCTCTTGGAATAACAGGAACAAATCTTGAAAGAGCCCTTGAATTCATCAGCATGTGCGATTAATTAAAAACCCCAAAGAAGTAATGATATGCACAAAAATTCAAGAGGCTATGATGAGCAGTGACCAAAACTTGATAATGTGGATACTGTTACTTAAGTATGAGCAACTCAGAATATCTAAAGGGGGAACAGAAGCACCTTCCTCCAACTCTCTTTTTCCCAACTTCACGCCCCTTCTCCTTTAAGTCATCTTTGGATATCCATTATTTATCAAAGAAGATGAACCAGAAGCAGGATAACCTCTTTGTAGTAATAAGGCTTTGTCTTCATGGGAACACAAGTTCAGTTCAGAAACTTTCAGACATGGTTTTAAAGGCTTTTGTGAGTCAACTGTTAGTGAATCACACAAAAGGGCCTTTATTAATAAGCATATTCTGTTCATTATAGAGAAATGAAAGCCTCAGAATAATTCACCAAATGTTTAAAGAGAAAACAAAAAACAATGTGGTAAACATATCAGGACTTGATGAGCTGTCTAGGTAATTGGTTGTTTCTGTGCACCTGGTTCCAAAGACAATATTTAATGTGTAATCTGTTTCATTTTGCTTGGGGAAGTAAGTGTAACTCTACCCCCTGGATCACATCTGCATTAAAATTAGGGGAGGCAGAGTCTTGTTTCAGTGAGTGGAAATTTATGCACATGAGTTGTCTTTTACATGGAGACAGCAATTATACCCCTAGAAATGCAGTCTGTGGGAGAAAATGACATATTCAACGCTGGGGAACAAAAGCCTAATGCTAAGGGGACATTAACAAGGTTGGGAACCCCCTCCCAACAATTAACATGATCATTTACAAAATCTGCAATCTATAAAATTATTTTAAAAACATGTTTTTTCAAAACAATGTGGTTTTTTCTCCTTCTTTCTAAAAAAAAAAAAAAGACTCAGCAGCAACCATGCAGAATCCATTCCACTGTAACAAGTAATATTTTAAAATCTCTTCAGTTGTATTTAAGGGCTGAAATAAACAAATTCCAGAAAGTGGTAGGTGACCCCTGTTTTAGCAGGCTAATAAGGACTGAGGAGAAAATGAAGCCACGAATTTTTCATTTTTATGTGAGGAAGTTGTGGTGTTTGAAAGCAAAAATTCCTAATCAGAATTCTAGAACACAGGAAGAATGCATGGAGCATACGCAAATTAAAGTCTCTAATAGCTAAAACTGATTTTAAAGAAACGATTTGTTGGTTGACTTGTTAAAAAAGACAAAGCCAGAGCCACTGAAATGGATTTAAGTTTTTGTTTCTTCTCTCCATCTTCTCTGGAGGCTATAAGAAATGGATGAGGAAAGAGGTGTTCTCAGCCCTCAATTCCCCAGCATCCTCTCCACATTCATGCTTCCTGGGAACATATAAATTACCAACGATTACACTTTATTTCATATACTAATTGCATCACAGAAAAATATAAGCCCTGCTTAACTAAAAGAGCTATGGTAAGTCAATTTGTCTTTGAGGTTTTCTAAGTTTTTAATGCCTGCTTCTAATTTTTGGCATATGTGTCTACGCAATTTTGTTGGAGTA